CGCGATTTTACCGCCATGACCGGGTACACGTGGGCCTACGGGACGCCGTTTCTTGGTTGTTTTTTCCAAAACAAGTTTGGGTTTATAAACGGTTACTGTTCGCTTTGTGCCACTAGAATAGCTCATCACATTATCGTACACAAAGTCTTCGTCTGAGAAATCCACAGATGAGGCATAGCCGAGTGTGCAGATGAGCACAAGACCTAGAATCGTAATTTCTTTAAGAGCAAACATCTTCTCGACTGAGATGATTTAGCACTGCGAATGCAGTCTATTTAAGTGTTTAAAGTCTCCGGAAAAAGTAACACAAGACGACTTTAACTGGGTCACTAAAATTGAATTTCAATACACGGAAGTAGGAGTGTCGGAAGGGCGCTGGTACATTGCTTGCAATCGATCTGGCTGCTAAAAGTTATAATCTCGATAGGAAATCCTCAAACTAACACGAATTGCAGCAAAAATAAACGGGCATGAGGCCATGATTTGAAATAATACAAACATTCTAAGTTATCTATTACTGTACTCCAATATTTACTCTATATTTAACTCTATTAATTAGCCCACTAGGACTTTGTACCTCATAGTTATTAAGATTCAACATTTTTTGATACTTTCAGCCCTAATTAGTGATGCTCTAGTACAGCGAAAGCTCGTCTCAATAAATATTATTTACTGTCACGCAGAAGTATTTGGCCGCATTTGCCACATTACAAACATGCTAATATAGTGGAGTTACCGTACAATCTTCATATAAGTCTTCAAAATCAATWATTAAATTTATATATCTATAGTTATTTATTTTATTTTTATTTATTAGTTATTTATTTTTGGAGAATCTCTAAGATCGTAAAGAATGTGAGAAGAGCAATGAACCCTGGAACATGGACTTTGGAATATGGAAAGCGAAACGTCTTATAAAAGATGCAATACACTACAGTGTAAAAAATACTAAAAGTGTGAAAATTACTAACCAAAAATTGTTAAATACAATTTATTGTAGATAAGACAATAGAATAAATTAATGTGTTTGCATAATTCAGTACAATTTAGCATCATCTAGTTATTATTTTATGGTGTTTTTGTTTGCACTCCAATTCAATAATAATAGTGCACTAATATGCTCAATTGACGTAAAGCGTGCGTGATTTACTTAAATTTGATTCTTCGAGTGAATACTGTTCGTGGCAAAGAAACTCAATATATTGCTAGATGCCGTTTGTAGATATGTCGTGGGATGAGGCACACCCAAAAGGTTTCCGGTTGAAAATAGGCTTCAACCTATAGCCCTGGACTATGTTAAGCCATTAATTAAAAAGAAAATACTTCAATTGATGTCCGGAAAAGCGAATGATGGTATGTTTTCGTAACCTCTTCATGAGATAGTGTTATTTTGTTTTGATTTCTATTATACTAAAAGATATTACGAAGTCTGGCTTTACTGTTTCCAACAGAAGAATATTTTCGGAAAACCACTCGATATAATAATAATATGTTCAATAACTTTATAATATTTGAGTTTCGAAGATTTCAAGGGACTAGTTATGGAACACGTTTTCTATTCACAGATTGACCAATAGCAGCTCCGATCTTGAAATAATTTGCCATGTGACGATTGGACAAAAAAAAGTCTATGAATCTGATTAAAAATTTAAGTTTTATAKACTTTATACGTTTTTATGCTAAGCATTTATAAACAGCAAGTGGTCTGGGCGAGTACCGGGTAAATACCATGGCTTTCTGTCTCGGAATAGGAAATATTTTGAATGGTTCTCTTCACTCCCACGCATCGCATGAATCCCTTGGAAGACTAAAAACCCGTCGCRGMCTGCAGCACAGCCTGACTTCCGATTGAACTTATAAATGTGATCCAATAATGATAAATATTTTGTTTTCTTTTGATGTGGAAGTTTGAAGTATTTAATAATTCCTGTATGGCATCCTATGTTGTCTCCTTAGCTGACGCACCCTGACATCTGATCACTTAGTGCTCGTCTACATCGATGCGCCCTGCGTGTTCAGGAATTTCCCTAGAACAGTTATAGAAAACGAATAGCCGACTTTAGATATTTTGGTTCAGTGACCATACACAAAAGAATTGCAGACGAGGCTTCGGGCAAATAAAAGAATTTATCATATAATTATCTATGAAATACCTATATTTCTCCATTTCATAAAGTTGATATTTTCACTAGTGAAAATAACATGTTATCTTCAATAGTGAAAATAACACATTCGAGGTAGTCTCTATGAAGTAAGGGTATTCTTCGACATAATTTGATTTCATGTTTAATTAMATGATAAACAGCCGCGAACGAGTGAGAGATTTTCAACACGAGAAGCCGATAAAATTCGTATCTCCGCGCGCCCATGTAAAATCTAGCCTGTGTACATCCGTTTCTCACCCCTCCAAAAAAATCGGGGAGAGATTTTTTTGGAGGGGCGAGAAACGGATGTACACAGGCTAGTAAAATCCTCTATAAATCAAGATTATCCATTGTTTTCTCGGAGCCTCTTGTGAGTCCATTTGTACATAGTCATTGAACCAAAATATCTAATGTTGACTATTTTTTCAGCACTCAGTACAAGACTCGTTGCCTTTGTGTCCTTTATCCGTCTCGTGACGTGCTAATACATTCTCATACATAGTCAGCAACAGATGCCATATCTGATTTTCCCCCTCCAGAAGAAGTAGAAATGTGTCTGAGTGTGTGTATCAATGCAAAAGGTATTTCAACTTCGTGTCGCTTCTCTGTACTTTGTTTYTAAACAAACTAAGTCCCATCGATCAAAGCAGTCATGATCACTCACTCTCTTATAGTCTCCTCTGCATGTGTTTGTAGTCGCGCACAAATGACGGCTGCGGAGGAGACGCACTAATTTCAATCAATGTCAAGTTTAAAGAGGTTTTTCAACTATTATTATTTCCATTGAAACCAAGCAATAACCATCAATAGCCATCTTAAACTATCACAGTTTTACTAGATTCTCCTAAGAGCTCGGATATACATTTTATGAGTTTAAAAACTCGTTGTTTTTAATTTATATTTGACACTTGGTAAATAATACACGAGCGATTAAACAAATAAAGAGAATTGTTTACTGCTTCATAGAAGCACTGTCTATCACTAAGCCATTTGGGATGATGTTCAAAGCTCGAGTGCATCGACTTGCGCATGCTCGTATACGCTTTTATCCCACATTGCTTATTGATGACTGCAGATCTCTTCGACTAATCTTTAATTTATCATCAGGCTCTTATTATAGAAGATAAAACCGATATATGAACATAGAAATCATTTGATCAATGATTCTATCATTCGCGCCAAAAATTCCAATATGCACATTCAGGCAAACGCTTTCATATTGATTAAAATCCAACAAAGCCATTACCAGCGTGACTGTAGCGCACGGTTTGCATTACGTAACKCAGTATCATGCGTGACAAATCAGAGGTTATGAATGTCAGGTTTCTACTTGTCAGACTGGTAAATAACCTCTAGGGGTAAAGCGAAATAATCGATAATTTTTTGCCTTTAGACCATCCCACGCAAACGAATGAAGGGTTGGAAACATCGCCTATGTATTAATCATGTATACATTAATATTAAAAAAAAAGAATTAAATAACAGACAATGAAACGAAAACAAATGAGTTGTTGTCAAAAAAAACTTAATACCATTTACAATTCACGAATGTATGTTACTCTAGTAATTATTTAACGGGTTTAAAACCACTCTATAAAGCGTATTACAAATAACTAATTAGTTTCGATGTCTGTATAAGAATTTCTTCAWAGTCTTGTGCCTTATTTATTGTTCAATATTTCTAATATACTCTAGCATCGCTAAATTATATTTAATTAAAACTAAGCAAAAACAAACGCCAATCCAATTGTTTTCTTAAAGTTTTACACGTTTCTCACTTTTTTTCAAGATCATCTTATCGTAAACTAATATAATTGATCAGAGTATGTGTCCAACCTTTCACTCGTTCTGTGTAAACCGCACGGTACTGATTCATTAATTGTTTTAAAGTAAATACTTCTGAAAACAACATTAACATTAAATAATATTTGCCCATGTTGAGCCTGAATGTGTTGCAACTACCACTAAGCCACTTTGAGGTAACAAGAACGATTATTACACGTGGCATATAATGTCTTAATTGTAGATTAAACTTCTTATCTTTTGTGTCATTCCTTAAGGAGATCCACCAGTTGCTTCAAATCGAAGTTCATGCTCGTTTCCTTTACTTTGGATTTTTTCTCTTCGTTTTGCTGTTGAATAAAGATGAACTATTAATTGGATGGTTTGTTGGTTGATTGGCTGGGCAAGTGGTTGGTTGCTTGGTTGGTAGGGTGGTTGCTTGGTTGCTTGGTTGCTTGAGTAGTTGGTTGGTTGGGTGAGTAGTTGGTTGGTTGGGTGAGTGGATGATTGAGTGGTTGGTTGGTTGGGTGAGTGGATGATTGAGTGGTTGGTTGGTTGGGTGAGTAGTTTGTTGAAATTGCTTGGTTGGTTGGTTGGTTGAGTGGACGGTTGAGTGGTTTGGTGAGTTGGATGGTTGAGTGTTTGGTTGGTTGGCCAGTTGGTAGCCTGGTTGGGTGAGTAGTTTGTTTCAATTGTTTGGTTAGTTGGTTAGGTGAGTGGTTGGGTGAGTGGTTGGTTGGTTGTTGTTTGTTATTCAAACTCAGGTATAAAAAAAATTCTTTACCTTTCCAGTGTCTTGCAAACTTTTTACCAGATCATCAGCCAGTCCTTCTCCATGTGYAGTAGACTTAGATTTTCTGGCTTCGTCTGACTCTTCCACTTTTGTAACAGAAGCCGGTATTCTCACAACTTCTACTCGATGATCTTGTGATACTCTCTTCTTGTTAGCAAGCCTTACAATTGCATCAAGATCTTCCATTTCTTTGGTTTTTTGATGAGTACGACTCCTCTTCGGGAACATTGCATCGAGTAAATCAAGACGATCTTGCTCTTGTTGTTGAGATTCGTCTGACTCGTCGCTATTTTCCGGACAGTAGAAGAATCCAGGCGGGCAGTAACCATTTGAATCTCGTTGCTTCTTTTCAAGAATTTTCTTCAAAGCTGCTCGTTTTCTCGTTAACCTTTCGTTGAGACTCTCGTCGCGACAATAGAAAATTCCAGGAAGACAACCAACCTGAGGATCGTTTASCAACATTTCTTTCTTTTTACGCCTTTCAAGATAAGCTTTCAGTAGTTTCCGTAAACCAGGGTTTCTTTCAAGCAGATGCTCTAGCTTTTTTCGTCGTTCCAGCATTCTTTCTCTTCCTGAGATAAGTGAATGGTGTTTGGGGACTTCTCTTGCTACGGAATCTTGTTCTTTTTCACGTAGCATGTGTAAAAGCCTCTTTATTCTTAACATTATTTCTGATTTAGGAGGAGTTTTCTGTAAAGTGAAACCCAACTAGATGTAACACGACGTGGTGATAATTAGGAGCCGACGGGTTCCTGGGAGAAATATATCTGTTCTTATGTCCCAGCCAGCTGTAAGTCACAACTGGTTGCCAACGAGAAATTCAAAAAAAAAGGCAAGGAATACTTTCTAAGAATTTTTGCCAGGAAAATAAAAATTTCCTTAACCATAAGAACGTTATAGAAGCCTTGTTTGACCTTAAAATCGTTTGCCAGGAACAAAATTATTCTAAAGAAAGAAGGTCGCCACATTTGCTTGTGAGATTGTCAACAATGTAGCCCAAAATCCCTTTCCCAAGAAAAMAATTCGTACAAAGAACAGCAATTTAGAAGAACAGACCCCCTCGGCTCCTCCTGGATAATGTCATTTAGAAACCACTACATTAAACATTTAATGTCAGTTATAATGCTATATCATATCGATACAGCCTTTTGCAAAAATTATGAGAATTGTCGAAATATCTAAATATCATAATATMRAGTGCATGATGGGTAATCCCGCGCGATGCCCTTAGTCCCTTGTCTTTGTAGTTTAGTTGTTTTTTTTGGCGACAGACTTATCCGTAGTTCTGAACATTTTCTCGATGTCAACAATGAATTATTCTAGCAAACCCGCGTGTTCCGGACAATATTTGGATATGGATATTATGATATTTAGATATTTAGACAATTCTCATAATTTTTGCAAAAGGCTGTATATCATAATATACCATAATATGGGTATATATGGTACAACAACAACTGTTTATACCTTGGAGCCTTCGTGTAGGGAAGATCCCTCGGCGTAAACCAGTGCAAGTACTATTAATACAAATCCCTTCGTTAGTATCATCTTTCTTTGCTTCTTGATAACACTTATGTAATTGATTCTCTACCTGAAAAAAGACCAAAAATTGCATTGAACAATATTCATG